GGTGATGTAGACTGTGATGTTTTGCGTACACAACAGGCACTCCATCCCTGAGCTGCATCCCAAACCTGGATGTTTTTTTTTTTTATTTTTTTATGGTTGTAGTCTCTCTTTCTCTCTCTCTCTCTCTCTCTCTCTCTCTCTCTCTCTCTCAGTGTCTTCTGCAAGAGCATCAAGTACACTTAACCGCTGAACCATTTGTCCAGTCCTTTGAGTATTTCATTGATAAACTCCTCCTACTTTGCCCACTTTTTCCCGATTAGGTGTTGGGCCTTTTCTACGTGTCTTTGATATCTGTAGGTCAATCCCTTTAGGTCCCAATTCTCCCTCATTTAATTTTAATTAATTAATTATTAGGGTCTCCCTGTGTCCCCAGATGGGCTGGAAGTCACTATGTAGGTTAGACTGACCTTGATTTCACAAAGATCTACCCGCTTCTGCCTCCTGAGTGCTGGGATTAAAGGGTATGCCACCATGCCCAGCTTCTCCTCCATTTAAAAACATTTTTGTATGTGTGTATGTGTACATGTACAGGTGCACATGTGCAAGTGTGTATGTGGAGGTCAGAGGTCAACTGTTCACCTGTTGTTTTTTTTTTTTTGAGACAGGGTCTCTTACTGGGACCTGGAGCTTCTTTGATTAGGTGAGGCTGGCTGGCTAGCCAGCCCCAGGGTCCACTGGGATTACAAATGCGTGCCACCATATCTGACTGCTTACGTGGGTTCATAAGGATCAAACTTAGGTCTATCCTCATGCTTGAGCAGCAAGTACTTTACTGACTGGGTTACCTCAGCTCCTCTCTCTAACTTTATATACAGTTGTGTCATTTAAATGATGGGGTTACATTATGAGGAATTCATCCTTAGGTGCCAGTGTGCTCTAAAGTGCACGTGTGTCAGCCTAGATGGTGCTGCTTCCTAAACACTGGGCTACGTGGAACCTAGGTGTAAGGAGCCTAATGCTCCTTGGCTGTGCTCAGTGGAACAGCACAAGACTGTGGGAAGCACAGAACAGGATGCACTCAAGAGATGCACTGATCACAAGGCCCTGGAGTGCTGTTGCAGCAGAACACAGCAGGACTTTACAGTAAATTCTTTTAAAAAAATTCAAGAAACAAACTCTAAAATAAAAGGTCTAGTGTAGCGAATGCATAAACCAGTAGCACAGTCCTTGGCATTATTCATGTTGGGTACTGTACCTCGCTTGCTGTGTGTGCTATGCTTTTATACACCTGGCAGTGCAGTTGGCATGTTTTTGCCTGTCTTTGCAAGCATGAGTATGATGGCACAACATCACAAGCTGATGTGAAGGTTTCCATTCCATAATTTTTTTTTCCCGTCTTTTTGAGACAGGGTCTCCCTGTAACCCCAGCTGGCCTGGAACTTACTATGTAGACTAGGCTGGTCTCGAACTCACAGAGTTCTTCTGCCTCCCGAGTTCTGGGATTAAAGGTGTGTACCACCACACCTGGCCCATCATAATTTTCTTTACAGTACTGGGGATGGAGCCCAGGGCTTTGCACATGCTAAGCAAGCATCTGCCATTAAGCTACCCCACCCAGTACGCTTCATTATAGTCTCATGGGACCGCATGCAGCCTGTAGATGATCAAATGTTATGCCGCACATGATGGTATATGTTTTTGAAAAACACTGTGGATCTCAGTGGTTGAATTTTTAATTGCTGAGGTTCTACTGCTATGTTCCTGGATACCTCCTCTTCCTTTCTCAGAGCATCCTGTTCTCTTTTCAGGATGTAGTGGCTTTGCAGAGGGGTGAGATATTTTGCTGCCCCTTTGTGGTTCTCTGGGTCTTCCTTTTCCCCTTATGTCTGGTCTTGAGACTTCTCATTAAACACCATCCTCCACTGTCTGGTTTTTGTTTTCTGACACTGTTTATAAGGGGTACTTTTCTCTCTCAGTTAAACTGTAGAGGTGGTCCAGGCCTTGGAAGGACCACACATCTTTCTGCCTCTTAGCACACATCTTTCTGCTTTCCAGCTCTGATGTCTGGAAAGACGACTAGACCTAGAGAGTTTGCCCAGAAAGTTCTGTTGACACTACCATAATTAGTGATGGAGTAAAACAGAGCACAAGCCAGTCCCCAATCCTCTGCTTCCCAACCACCTGTGTCCCTAAGTTAGCTCTGCACCCTGTACATGTTTCTGGGATAGGGACATATCTATGGAGTCTATAGCAATGGTGGACTGAGGCTGGCAAGTGATAATGAATAGGAACGGCCTGGGGTTGCCTCAGCATGCCCTAAACTGCTCAGTGGTTACCTACTCCACCTCCTGGAGAGAGATAGAATCTTCCAGGCCCTCTGCCTGTTCTTTTCTGGGGTTTCATGGCTGCCAGGATGTTTCAGAGGTGCCCTTGGAGGGCATTTGATGTGAGGTGGCTATGGGTAGGGGTGAGGGGGCAGCACCGGTAAAAGCCCTGAGTAGCTAGCATTGGTCTGTGGGGGTCTTCGTTCTGTGTTCTGTGTCCCTAGCCTGGTAAGTGTCCAGTAGGTAGGGATACTCAGGGACTCCTGTCCTGTATCATGATAGTGTCATCATGTAGGCTAGAGCTCTCAGGTCACACTCTGGGTGTCCAGGCTGGGCTACAGTTGCTGACAGCTGTGAGGAAGTGCCTGGGGCACCCAAGATGCTCTTGTGCTGTCCTGCCACCCTGGGGTGCCTACCTTAATCTGGGAACCCTATATTCCCGATCACTCTACCTTTCCTTGCACTTTGCCCCGTCTGGACATCTGACTTCTTTCATAGCCAGCCCTGAAGATGCCGCCCCTCTTTTCATGGTCCTTGTTGTATGGTCTTGAGTGCCACAGTGCCCTGGGAGCGTGGTGGGGAAGCTAGAGGGAGAGAAGAGCCCTGGGCCTGCAGCATAGCTGACTTCTGCTCAGAGGGTCAGCTATGCTAATGTGTCCTAAGCTTCCTGCAAATTGGTGTGCTGGATTGGGGTGGATGTGGGGGTCTGCATGGAGCCCCGGCTCTGGAATGTCTTTGCAGGAGAGGAGCTGAGTCTGTACTGGATGGGGGCCCTGGCTGATGCTGGAGCTCCCAGCCACACAGGTAGAAAGTGTGGCCAACTATAATGTGTTGTTAGAGGGTGGGGTGGCCCTAGCCCCTGTTGCTAGGCAGCATGCTTCCCTGGACACCAGTTGTCATGGCAGTCGCTTCCTGCCCATGTTGCCATGACGCCCAGATGGCCTTGAGGAGTCTGGAGTGGTGGTGAGGGGCCACCCAGATACATACACCCCTCCTTGGCTGGTGCTCAGGGGATGCTGAGGAGAGAAGAGACACCTGGCAGCCCAGCCCTTCCTACCTAGAACTAGCCTGGGACAAAGGCAGGAGCCACATGGGGGCATTTCTGCTCCCTGTGGCTTTGATATTCAATGTCCCAAACTCATTTTGGGGACTGAGAGGATGGAACTCAGGGTCACAGAGCCAACCACACCCCTTACGGGTTCCCATCTATGTGCTTCCAACCCAGGCTTCAGGCCCAGACCCAACGGTCTGTCCCTTCCTGTTGCAGCTTCAGAGCTGCCCTGCACAGGATTGGGGTGCTCCTAACAGACCTCAATAAATGTGCCTGGGATTTTACAGGTTTTTCTGGAATAGCCTGGCATTGCCCTCTTTCACTTTGGAACGCAGGCCAGTCCTTTCACTCCCCTCCTTCCCAGGAGTGGTCTAGGCATAAACTCTCCTTTTTCTGTGTGTTAAGAGTTTCAAAATGACCCTTGGCCAGTGCCTGTGGAACTTTGAGTCATGGCCTTGGGCCTCCAAGTGTCCTTAGATTAATAGCCAGGGGGGACTGATGAGGGATAGGATGGCCTGCAGTGTGATCAAGTCATCTTAGGGCCAGAAGGCAGGGGCTGCTAGGTCCCTGCTCCTGACAAGGTAGATATATGTCTCTGAGAACTATGTGGCCTTCCCTGCCCTCCCAACCTAGGGAGAACAGAACTAGCTTGATCCCAGAACCATTGTATGAACCAAAGAAGGCCCTGGAGCTAGACATGTTGATCGCTG